TTAGACGAACTTAAACTCCCTGTTAGCAAATAATCTTAGTTAACTTAACGACGAACCGTTTAAGCTAACAACGTTCTGGTCATTTGTTCATAGTTCTATCCTAAATCAGTTATAAATCTATGTCAATAAATATCGAATAAGCATAGTCACTTCTTGTGGGCAGTCAGTCATTTCTTGTAAACAGTAAGTCATTTCTCGTGGGCAGTTAGTCACTTTTTATAAGCACTAATTATTTCTTTTTATATGCTCTCTTAATTTACAAGAATAATGAATTACCTTAAAACAATATATACATGTTCGATTATCATACTTTTTTTTAAGTCCTCCTTCTCTACAGTAAAGATATTACGCTAGGATTTGTGAACTGATAGGGGAATGTTAATAGTTTTTCCATTACATATGGCTTTAAATTCCCTTTCACTAAAGGTTTCTATCCAGATCGATATTACCATTGAGTACCAAGAATTATTAAAGATTTAGCATTTCCATTCTGATCCTTTTCTACAGGTACAACAGAAAATTCATCTATGATAGAGGCTGTATTTTCTCCAGAACCAATTGTTATGAGAATATTATCCATAGTGCCGATGGATATCATAAACAATGAAAACTTACATACTACATTTCTTTTTCTTATTTCTTTAAAATAGAATGCGAAATCTCAAGTTATATCTGGTTTTTGTAGAAGTGCTTTAATTGCTTTTATTATTAGACGGTAATAAAGAATGTATGGGATATCTTCAAAATTTATGATATGTTTCTTTTTAAAATCAAGGTTCAGTGCTACTATTGAATTCATAAAACTATGTATCGCTTTAGAATTCTTTAGTAAAGGTGATTCTTCAAAATTTGCGTTTTTGTTGAAAAAGTGAATAAGCGAATCAATTGCTTGGTTTGATAATTCAAAATTGACACATATTTTTACGAATTCTTGATAAGTCTTATTAGGCCATTGTGGAATGTGCTTCTCAATTGTATCATTTACTGCGTCTTCAAAGTTGGCTCCACAAAAATCTTCAGAGTCTACTGAATCGATTTCTATATTTGAGTCATCTGTAAAGTTATTATTATCATTTATATTATTCGTAACTTTGTCATGATCAAGTTCTTGTAATAAAGGAGAATCAGGAGAGTTTTGCATTTCTAATATTATTTCATCTGTTGAAAGGTTCTTTGTATTCTTTTAATATAT